TCAGAGCAACGCAGTCGTAAAGCTAGGAAAGTTAACAGTCTTCGGAAGAGTGCAAATGTCAGAGTCCGGAGCTGAGACATTGCCATATTTACCTATCACAAGTGGGTATAGTTGATGTTTCCTTATCCACTTTGGTATATGGCCTAGAGACTTATGGATAACTGGCTCATTTCGGACCCATTATAGTAAGCGAAAACATTCTGCAATATAGGACAGGTGGTAATATGGGTTAAATGGGTGGAATATAGCAAGGGAAGGAAAAAATAATTTTAAAAAAGTGGTGTGTCAAAGTAGAAAATAACAGGAGTAATTATTGAAATAACCTAATTTTTGGCGCGCAGTAATTAAAATAAGAAATACAACCAATAGGAAACAAAAACTGCCCAATGATACCCGCGAGTTGGATACAATTCGATATCCCTGCTGACGACCGCCGAGGGTGTAGACCTTACGGAAAACGAAGCGAAAGCTAATCACCTTTCAGAACTTTTCCGGTCAGTTTTCACTTTTACGAAAGTCTCCGTGCTCTTCCCTATTTGGCTATCTGCGTACTGTGATGACCCCATTAGCGATCGCATCAGCCGAACCTGGCGGCCTAAACACTCAGCCTTGGTTCGACCCGCAGCGGACTGTCGACGATCTGGTCGGATGTTTCTATTTGCCCAGTCTTGTCGGCGGACTCTGCAATCAGCAAGGAAGAATCAGGCCGCATCTTCCACACTCGGTGATGATCCTGGGGACCTTTGCAATGCCCCCCCAAGATCGGGCGTTTTCTTTCTTTTTTTTCTCCTAAACTCCACACCTCCACACTCCCGCAACAAGAGCGACAGTTTTTCTCCTAAAAAATCATTAGGAGTTTTTTCACCGTCTGCTCCTTTTTTTCATGACCTCATGACAATTGGCCTCGCCAACAATACCATTTTTCTGCTACCACTACACACATGTACAAATAGGGAACTCAACGGTACTTAACGTGCATATCCCTCAATAAACCGATACTGATACTGAATCGCATATCGACTCTATATCGAATTTTATAGATTAAAGTGAAACAATGCATGATAGGCATGGTTTGAACACATCATCAGAGACAACCACAGGAAAATAGGCTGATAGAGGCACAGGTTACGCAGTATATATGGTCCGTAGCAGCCAGGCGACGGCATGCGTACTAAAATTAGCAGCTTTCAGGATTATCGCTTGGCGTTGTGATTGACGCTGTCCACGTCTGAGTCATTAATTGCCACGATTTTATCATTCATCTTTAGTGGTGGCGAGATAATTACGCGACGGTTAGACTCATTTTCATCGAAACTGTTGACGGCCCGCGCCCTCCCCTCGTCACTAATTCCCCTACTCAGACAAAGTCTTAGTATCGAATATGGGAACGGCAAGTCATTACGCTTTTTGATGGACTGCGGGTCTGTGAAGTATCACCCAAGCACATCGTGGTTCACATAGTTGTCATCTCTTGCGCGGACTTCGGCCTCGTGAAACTCTAAAAGATGGCTGGCTTCTGTCGAGTGAGCTGTAACCTGAGAATTAGCGTATTACCTCCTCCTCACCATTGCTGCGTGCTCGACCATTCGCGTCCGGAGTAATCGCCCGTTTTACCCGACGTAGTTGCTTTGTCCACAACTGCATCAGACCCGGTAAACGACTCCAGCCGTCTCCTGTCGTGGCAATAGGTCTTTCTGCTATTCTCGAGCCTTGCAAGCGATTATGTCCATACGAGAGGAACACAGGACGGTGACTTGCGCG